GATTTTTTATCGATTATTATATAATGTTTTGCTCTTACTGGCAACGTTTTCGAAGACTTGTAAAAATGAAACTTTAGTAATCGCGCTTTTTAGATCTGTCCGAGCATTCGAATTATGCTCGACACTCGGCCTCTAAAACTGCTCTAGCTTTTGTCGAATTGAACAATGAAATTAAAAAAAAGATTTTTTGAATCCTTAACCAGGCAATCGGATTTATTAAAAAAAAAAACTAATTTTTTTGTACGAAATATTATGTATATTTCGAATTAATTATACATCAGTCAATCAATAAAATGAAGCACTATCAAACTCTTTTCCATTTATAACAACTTATAATTCTTCATTTAAAAATCTCCATTCCCATTAATAAAAATAATAACTTCTCTAGGTGCCGCGAGGAAATTACATCAAAATGAAACTTGTTTTAAGATAATAAATTAATTCCTGCTTCGAATGCATTTATTTTTGATATAAAATTGTAAGCAGCTTTCTTGTTTTTTTTTTAGCAATAGCATTGTCCGTTCACTAGCACACTTAACCTAAAATATTTTTAAACTCGCTTTTATATTGGAAAACTATAAACAATTTATTTTCCTTTTTAAATTTAATTTGAAGGTTTGCTTTTTCATCCTTATTATAACCCAAGTGCTTTTTATAATTTAAAAATAAATTTATAAATATTTTTTTACAGCTACTCTGACGTACATATATGTCTATATGTACACATACAAGTGTATTAAGCGCGAAAATAAACATAATTAAAATGTCATTCAACCAACTAATCGAGATCAAAATCAACAGAGACTACTACTGTACGAGTGCATACATATGTATGCATGTTTGTATGTAATTATAAACATTTCATTTAGCAATTGTTCAAGTAATAAATCAACGCGCAGTTAAAAATCATTGTCCATCCGAGCGCAGTCGCATTAGAGCGCAATTAAACACAAAATTAAGATAATTAAGTGAGCAAAAACAAAAAAGGAAATAAAAATAAAGAATTTAAGCGCATATAAAATGTTAATATTTATGTATGAAAAGAAAACCCTTTTAAATTGCATAAAAAAGTGGAATAAAGCAAAAAAAATTGTAATTTAAACCAAATAATTTCCACATTTTGTTCCTATATACGCAATCTTGGCAATCTTTACTACAATTTTTCAAAAAAAAAAAAAAAAAAAAAAAAATGACAACGTNATAAGGACAATATCTGTAAGCACTTTTTCGCAATAAAGCCTTTAATTTTGGAAAAAAACCTGACATATAAAAAATATGAAATATTAAAAATATGTCTTTCATAGATGCTTAATGCGCTCATCTTTAAATAATATTTCTATTTTTCAAAAAAAAAAAAAAAAAAAAAAAAAAATGCGATTTCAATGCTCTAAACATATGTATTGTACATACGAGTTCAAGTAGGATGGCATTCGTAATGCAGTTTTCAATATTTAATTTTTAAGCGCCAGACATAAGCGAAAAAAGAACCAAATAGAATATTAGGGTATGCCAGAAAATAGCAATAAAAATTAATTTATTTATAATAATTTATAAAACATACGCTATCATTTTAATTTCTGTAAATTTTTTTCGGCAAGTAGTGAATCGCTTTGGAAATAAAAAGCAGTTAATTACATGCCCAAGTGGCCAAGTTCACAAACAAATAAAGCCCCCATTGGCGACTAAATGGGAATTAAATGATTTTATATAGTATATGCTTATACTGCAATATAATATATTTTATATAATATGATAGCTTGTGTTTTTTTTAAACTATATAGGGTTATCCATTTTGATATCTGATAAGCTTAACTGTCATACTAAACATGTTTTTTTAGTCAAAGGTTAGGCGTTTATGAAAATGGATCGCTTAACAACCACACAATATATAGTAATATATAATTGACGCTTTGTAATCGCTGAAGCAACTTTCAGCCAAGCTCCTCAACCAATTTGTGATTTTGCGTCTTGATGTTTTTCTAAAAAAACGGAGGGACCTACAGTTTATTCCAGGCCTCCTCCGAACGGCAGTTGGTTTTTTTATGAGGAGCCTTTATTTCATGTCAGAAATACACTCGAAGGGGTTGACATTCCCTGCCGAGTAGTGACCGCAATTAGAAAATTTAACTTAATTTTTTATTTAAATTAATTTTCCACAATTTTTTGGATGTTAGTGCGACACCAGGATTTGAACACAAGCCTTCCGAATGACCGTACGCAATGCCAACCGCTGCCGCGAAATGGATTACTCTGTGTAATATCTCTAATATCTCTATATCAAATGCCAAATTAAATCTAAAAAATAATAATATCTAGTTTCTAGCATTTTTTTTACTATTTTTTGCTTCAATAATATGCTTTTAATAAAGCTATAAGCTAAGTAATTAAAAATACATTTGAATTGCTGTTTGTGGATACTTAATTTAACACATCGAAATTTATATTTAAGCCGGTTATAGTTGCTTCAGTTTTAATTTACAGTTTACCTTCAGGTTTTTTTTTATTTTTGTTGAAAAATCGGAAATTAAATATTTTAATATAATTGCAATCATTATTAATATATATATATATATTTATATACATTTATTATTATTTTATTACATATTTACATACGAGAATATTTTTGGTTTTTAAAAATAGTTTTAGTGGTATTAAAATCAAATCTTCAATTTAAGATTTTTTTAAATCGTTGGCCACGAACATACATACACGTATAATTATTTTTTAAATTTTTTTACTATATTTTTGGAAATAATAAAATAAAATCGCTTAGCTCTTTTAATTAATTAGATTTATTACGAAATTAAAAGGAAAAATAATGTTTTTAAATCTCAGACGCGTATAATAAACCCAGTGATTACCCTCTTTCCTACCAACCGGCATAAAGAGCGTTCTCCAAATAACATGCGAAAATTGTGAAATCAAGGGATGCAAGAATTTTTTAAAGGTCGAATCAAGTCCTGTTCAGTACAGTGAGCGAATTGATTCAGCAGCTAATTAAATATTTTGATGTTTTAAGAATTCATTGTTGAAAGAAATTGCGAAAAAGTAATTCCGTAAGACTCTAATGGCTCCCTTATGTCAAAATTTTCAATTGAAGAGGCATAAACTGCTTGGGTACAGATTTTGAGGTGGAACTGTGGACTTCATCACAGCATACACTTGGGCAATACACAACAAATTGATCCTGACCAAATTTTAACTACAACCAATGCGCCTAATTCTACTTCCTCACAATCAGTGAGTGTAGGCAGTCTTAAGAAGTTTTGAACAGTTTGGTTGTGGATAAAAATTGAAAATGTCTTAATGCGAAAGTTTTTGAACAGATTAACTTATGAGAACAAACTTATTGATTAAGAAGCCAGCCCAGTATGCACACCAAAATTTTGCTTACGCATTTCCGAAAAGACTGCAGACAGTTGTGGTCCTAATCTCAGGCCACAACCTACTGGTATCATACGCGAGCGAAGTGGATATTGAAGGAAAAGTTTAGCAAGTGTAGGAAGCCCATCATGAGTCAGCTGCTAGAACTTCTGTTCTCCATATACTTAGAACTCGTCTCACGCCTTCTAAAAGCCTCACTGTGCAGAGCACTAAAGGATGTTTCAAAATTGAAAATCAAGCCTCTTTTAAACTTCGTAAAAAGCGGTGTCATCCTATGGCGGGACTGCTTTACTACGACGAGAAGTTCTATGGATGTAAGGCCTTTCAGCCAGCCGATATATTCCAACTTAAGCTAATATTTGCCACGTCAAGGTCGTATTTATAAAGTGTTTTAGTTATATAAGAATCTCTATATTCTTTTGAATATCTATTGGCGAAGCAGTAAAGATTTTTTATCTATAAAGCGAAAAATCAACACTAAAAATTTTGCAGACTGAGGTTTAATATAACCCCGTGTGCCAGAGGACTTGTTCCAGTGTTAAAAAAGTGATGCCTGATGTTGGGCAATATTAAACGTTTAAACTAATGATTCAGATCACGTGTTAACCCTTGTCTACAAACTTCAGTTACACCTTAAAAATGTGTTGTAGACGTAGTGAGAAGAAAAATAATTAACGGAGTTAATATGAAGGTCTTCAGCTAGCTCACGATGCATTCTAAGATATTTTGGATGTACTAATGCGTGAGTGGAGTAAGCTTGAGACAACTCTTGATAAAATCGGTACAGAGAGTAAAATAAAGTGCAAGAGACTTCGGCCGGGTATAAGAGATGAAAGACTAATTTTTATTATATTATAGAAGGTATTTAACATCTTACATCTACAACAAAATTCAGGCTCGACAGACATGAAACATACTTTCTGATACCAGATCTTAGGTTAATCTAAAGTGAGAATATTTAACGAATTAATAGCGGCAAAACGAAAAATTAAACGCTAATGCAATTAGTTTCTTTTCTCTCACAAAACCTAAGGAATTAAAGCAAGAGAGTTAGACTTTTTGGAATAAAATTATTTCTTATTCCAAATAAAATATTATTATTATTATTATTGTGTCTAGTTTGCGAGACTTTGGAAACTAAGTTTAACCATCAATTTCAAACCACTCGAAGTTTCCGGGCAGCATTTTAGATAACCAGCCTCAGACTTTCAAGCACGTATTAGGAATAATGGCAAGCTACTTCACTGAACTGCTGAGATGCTGAAAAAATATGTACAGCCCAGTTAATTGGGGGTGGAGAGCGCCGCCAAAAAAAGGTAACCTGATCAACCGATCAACTATAAACCAATTGGATTTCACTACATAGAAACAACATGTAGGTCTTAGAGCTACTCACGCTCTTTTCGCCGTGGAAGAGTCGTCCGCTTCTTTTGTGGATATACCTCCGTTTCAAGACATAATCATAACTTAAAGTTTTTACCAGATAATATTGTAATTGCCCAAAAATTGGAAAAATTTCATAAACATTGATTTTAGTTCAAAAATTTTCTTTAAATCGACGACCTAGTTTTGTAGGAAAAAAAATTAATTTAAAAAAATTTATACTCAGTACTCACTTATCACATCATGCCCATGACAATCCAATTCCAGGTGATGATTCATCACCAGCGACGGTTGTAATCCACCTTGCGTGTGATTGTGCAAATTTGGTAGCTGGTGAGCCAAATGGCCACCAATCTCTGCCATTACCATATATTAAGCTTAAAACTGGCGTCTTGCTGATCAATAGATAATTAAATTTATAGATCTCTTTTTAATTTTTTTAAATTTTTTTTGGTTAAGAATGCAGCTTGTCACACATACACTCGCGGCGGGGATGGTAATAATTCAACACTGAGTAAACATTAAATAGGCGAATATTGTTGTTGTTGCTATTATTATTATTATTATTATTAATATAACTGTTGTATAATGTTCATAAGAGCACAACGCAGAATGTAACTAAAACGAATATTGAGCACAAAGCGTATTTTTGACTTTAAATTTAAGGAGTTGCTGGGGGAAAAAATTGAGTTTTTTTCTAAATTAAGGGTTTTAGCGACGGTATTATTGTGTGGAGATAATTTGCAGAATAAAGCAGCTGCCGCCTTTTATGATGTCTAATTTAATGTTAAGTTGGCTTTCGTTATTGAATTGAGGAATTTTTAATTTTTTTTTTTTAATTTTTTTTTGTGAAAAATTAGGGTTTATTTAATTAATTTTTTGAAAATTATTTTTGAAACAATTTATTCTGCTGATGTTATTTTGTGTATTTTTTTACATATTTTATTATTTTTATTTTATTTTCTATTTTTAAGAAATTGTTTTATAATTAATTTTAAATTTTCATACCAATTAGGGTATGTAGTTGAGCTATTAAAATTTTTATATGAAATTTCTTGATTTATTGAAATTTTATGCATTTATTTTGCAGCTATTTTATTTTTATTTTGTTATCGTTTTCTTACTTTTAAGGCACTTCCAAATGGCGCTTTGGCAAATTTCACTTATAAGTTGTTATGCAAAAGGATTTGAAGATTTGAAAATAGCGAAGTGATGGTAGTTGTTCTTGCCGTTTAAAATTAAATGTTTTAAATATTTATTATTTAAAATTAAGCATTTTTGCTTGAAAATTCCTGTAATTTCAGTTCGAAAAGCAAGAAAGGATTTAAAGCAACTACACAATAAGGAGAATTCCTTATGTTTGTTGTTAGTGTTATTGTTTACTTTTGTTTCTGTTATTCAATACAAATTTATTACACATTTCTGCACCGAAATTCCGCTTACTTTTCAATTTTACTTTGCAATAAATATTTCTGGTTTTAATCAAATGCCAAATGAATTAATTTTCTCAAGTTTTCTCTCCTTCAAAATCACATATTCTAATTTTTTTATACGCTGAATGAACGATTTTCCATTGCAATAATATGTTTTTCCAGTTCCGTTTCCGGAGCTTCCACAATGCTGCTACACACAGCGGAAGTCCCCGCATACACGCGCCGACGCACAATTGTATACACACACACGCACACACTTGATTTCAACTTTTTGTTTTTATAAAAAATTTTGTTATTACAAATTCACATTTGTCAATGCGTTATAATTTATGAATTGCACAAAATTCGCACCGGAAGCCGAAAAGCGCCGTTAACGACGGCAAACGTCTACACTACACGTAGAGCAAGTCGATATGTAGACGCACCAACAACTTCACCGATATGGGCACACAGCATGCAACAGCACAGCGTTCTATGGAATACACACTATGCTTACGACAAAGTCTCACGAGCGACTAAACCGGTATCGGAGTCAAGTTAGCTCGCCAACCGTCAGCCGCCAGTCAATGCATTTGGGAAAAAGGCCAATGTGGCAGTAGCAGAGGGAAAAAAACAACACACAACCTGTGTTTGTTGGGTTGTTTGGCGACGAATGTGTGTGAGTATGTGCACGTGTGTGTTGTTGGGTGCCCACCCCTTTTCGAACATCGTGCCTGGCGGCTCTAACACACTGAGGTGAGCAGACCAACTTAGCGTGCGCCAGAGCGGCGAGACTATAGTAGTGTAGTGGTTTGTTGCTGCTCTTTAAAGACCCTACTGTGTTGTTACTGTTGTTATTAGTGTTGTGTACACTCATGCGTCAGCTGTGACGGTGCGCGTGTGGTGCAACCGGTTTCGAACTCGAACAGCAAGAAATTTTTTTTTTTAGTTTTTGATTTTACTTTGAATGAAATTATGTTTACCACTTATTTTTGTGTGTGTGGGTGTTTTTTTTTGTATTACAGCGCTCATTCTGCCCTCTCGCACCATCGTTGGCTTTCCCAGCAAAAATGTTATGCTTTAATTTCGAAAAACAGGTGTTCGCACAGTAAACCGCCCGCTTTTGCCATCGTTTTGTCTCTTTTACGCTTACACACAGGAGTCCGATAACAGCGTTTACTGTGTTTGTTGTTGCCCTAACCACCACCAACCAACCATACACAACAATTGTAGCTTCAGGTTACTTCTTTTTTGCCTTTGCTCGTTTTTTCTTGCTACTTGGCGGTAGAGCATTTTCCGACTTCTTCATTTTTTCTTTGAAACAAAATTTTATGCGAGCTCAGCTATATTGCCGTCCGTACACTTGATTCTTCGTTCGTTCCGGAGTATGCACATGCCTTTATCTGTGTGTCCATGTGTGTGTGTGTGTTATTTTTGTAAATGGCGTCCAAGCGGGCCAATCGGGTAGCGCTACTGCGCTTGCGTTATGTCTGTCTGTTCATCCTGTTTGTGTGGTGTGGAGCATTGCAGATGCAAGGCTACCAAGTGTGTTGTTCGCTAGGAGTGTAGGAAGAAGAAGCAAGAGCAGCTGGAAATGCAAGCGTTTGATTATATGTACATACATACCTACAAACATACATGCCTGTGTACACATATGTATGTATATATACTGCCTGACTGTGGATCCAACTGGTTTGGTTGTTACTTTTGTTTTTGCAGCCCCTCCTCTGTGGGTGAAGACGTTTATTTGCATGTGTATGCATTCATACCTATATGAATGTGTGTGTGTAAAAAGCGTTGCGTATTGTATACAAAAATATAATAACTTCGTGTATACCTACGTACACATAATCGTAAATATGTACATATTTAAATATGTTACAGTGTTTACATATATACATATTTGTATAGATTTATTGGCGCTAGACAAAGGTGCTGCACAGTGCGGCGAACTTAGCAGGTAATATCGTTTAAATAATTTTTTTATGTGGCATACCTAGTGTAATGGCCTAAAAAAGGTGATTTTTGGGAATTTTTATTAAAAAAAAATACTTTATCAATTATTTCAAAGTTTTAAGAATATATTTATGCATGTTTCAAGAAAATACAGTGAAATTTTCGAAGAAAAAAATTAAATATTTTTTAAGCTATAGTCGATCTCCAACGGCGCGAAAAAATGGTCCTTCACTGCTGAAGTGATTCCGGCCTTCTCCGTGGATGAAATCAAAAAAAAAAAACATCGATAAGATAATATTGTCTGCACAATGACCTACGATAAAAAAGATCAAAAATTGACAATATGGCGGCGTTTTAAAAAAATAGTCGAATTTAACCTAAAATTTTGGTCGTTTTTGGCCTGCAAAAATTCGATTTTTGGTCTCGGAGAATTATATAAAGAACATGTAAAAAAAAAACTATAGTGAACGGATCATTTGTTTTTAATCACTGCAGCGAATTCGGAAAGTGATGTTTCGAGAAGAAAGCGTTTAAAGATAAAAGATAAAATGATCACTCGTAGCTAATCAGACTCTCTAGCTGCCGAGCGGGTGCTCTTTAAATTGCTATAACTCAAATAATATTTGAGATATCGATTTGAAATTTTCATATGTTATTTTTAAAGGTGTAATCTACCGAAAATAGACCGATTTCACACTAGGTGTGCCTCTTAAGAAAATCCTACTTTCCGGCTCGTAGCTAATATCTTTTTCAAAATATTTTATTTAAAACACTGATCAAATTAATTTTTTCTAGCAAACAAGAGAAGATGAAACAATAAAGAGCTAAGAGAAGCATATTTCAAATGTATTGTCAATACCAAAAAGCCTCAAACTTTAAGGTAATGTCGATGTGTGCCGCCAAAGCTACCCATTTTACAAATTTCTCGTCCTTTTTAAATTGTTTTATTTTTTTTGTTTTTGACGACGAACCCAGCGTTTATCCCCACCCGACCATCTGACCGATGGGCGTAACTGAGGAATAATCGAAAAATCCAACAGACCGGTGACCGAAAACCTGTTAATCCCGGGCGGCCCTGAATCCCACACCGATCGCGTGACTGTGACCTTGGTTACACTTGGCGCCTAGCAGGTCAATTGGAAAGTCCCAATATTACTAGAATTGATGCCGAAAAATTTTTAGTTAGTCCTAACCTTCCAAAGACGCTAGGATTAATCCGACAGTTGCCGAATCATTACTTTGTGAATTATAACATTTTGAGTAAAGCAACTTTTGTTATTATCGAAAAAAATGGATAAAAGGAATTTCGTTTTTGAGGGAGAAAAATGCAGTTGAAGCAAAAACTTTGCTTAATGATGAGTTACGGAGCACTGCCTCAGGAAAATCAACCATTAAGGGTTGGTATACTAAGTTCAGACGTGGTGAACTGAGCACCAAAAACTGTGAGCGAGGTTGTTACCGACGAAAACATCAAAAAGAAAAACACTAAACTATTTTGAATAAATGTAAGCTTGAAATTGAACGAACTCAGAGGCACTTTAAGGATATCTCCTGAGCGTGTACATGATATCATTCACAAATATTTGGCTATGTGAAAAACAACGACGAGTTGATGATTCGGAACAGTGTTTGGAGATGTTCAAGTCCAATAAAGACGAGTATTAAATAGATATGGCCCTCAGCAAATAATTCCTGTACTCAGATCTCAAAAGAATGCTCGCTGGGAAGGAAGTTACCTCGAATGAAGAGATGATCGCATTCCATTTTAGGTAACTTTCAATAAGAGTTTGAATTTGGACTGCTTTGTCTAGGAAGATTTTTTCATAAGAAAAACTTCTTTCATAACCTTACTCCTGACTGTTGTTTCGAATCGCGACTAGGCCAACATGTAGACAACCTTTTCCTAACGCGTCGACAATCTTTATTATAATTCTACCAAATCAGGAGACTTATCGAAAACCTGCGCATAGAACTCAACATTGGTAACTTTGTTTCGGGTTTTTGTTGTTCTCAAAAATACATTTATAAGATCAAACTACAAACTTCATTCCTCACAGCAATTTCAGTATCTCGTCTTTCTCTCTACGGAACGGCCTGCCTACAAAAACCATGGTTTCCAGGTTTGAGATTAATCGTCCATACTTGATTGTTTAGAACCATAATAGCCGAATGGTTAGCAGTGGACCTCTAACATCTAAATTATATAAAACTAATTTTTCTAATTGCAGTCGCCCCTCGACCGGGAATGTCAATGGGACTTTGCATAAAACATGGAATAAGTGTTAATAACGACCTGCTGGTGAGTAAGGCAAGAGTTTACGAGTGGTACAAGCGTTTCCAAGACGGCCGCAAAAGCAATGAACGGTCTCGCACATCAACAACTAATAAAAACATGGAGAAAGTCAACGAAATGGCATATCAATTGGATCATGTCATGACATTTTTCCTAATATTTTGTGTGTCAGGAAAATTTATTCCGAGATTGTTGACCCTT